AAGAATTTATCAAACCTGTTAACTTCCCTTCCAGGATATCTGGGGAAACCACATTCAAAGCACAAAACAGATATTTATTAAAGAGTTTCTAGATATTTTGTTATTCAAAAGGACCCCCCCCAAAAAAAAAACAAAAACATTATCAATAAAACTTGTGTCAAAAGATTAACCCAATGAAGCCACAGGACCACTTTTAATGGTGCAATCTTTAATTACTGAAGTACTAGCAAATTAGTAAGACTTTACTACTTCGTTCATAAAATATCTTCAACCACAGTATTTGTAGCACTGCCCTATTACAACCAGGTAAAAAAATTGCAAGAGAAATAGGAAGCAAAAATGAATAATTGAAAATACTTCATCTAAGAAATTAATACAACACAAGACCAGGTAAAAAAAGCAAGAGAAAATGAAAGAAATACTAGTCAAAATTGCTAATGCTTCATCTAAGAAATTCAGACAACTTAAGATTATTACTATTTGGTAAAAAAGCAAAAGAAATAAGATGAAAAAATACTAGTCAAAAATGAATAATTGACAAGGCATCATCTAAGAAATTCAGACAACTGAACAATTTGTCCTCAAATAATTTGAAAGGAATTTATAAAATTATTTTCAATTTCTATGCTTTAATTAATATTTGTTGTGTTATTTAAATGCATTATCAACTAGAGGGAACGTTTGTTTCAAAACCTCCCCTTGTAATTTGTAATAATGCTTTTCTATAGTTAAGAAAAAATAAATAATCACTGATTTTAATGGGAAATATCCAGTATTTTTTGTTGTCACTAAAATTTATTCAATCATTTCAATTTTTTAAATCTTCCCTTTGATTATTTGCAATCCAATTTCATAAATCAGTAGCTTAGCATTTTACAGCAGTGTCTGCTTCACTATTATTAATAATAAATAATAGTCAGTGAATGGATTTTTGATGTATTTGCTTAGCTTACTCCACAAAAAAACTAACAACGGTTGATAACGATTTTGTTTGGCGACAATGACACAAATGACAAATCTAAGTTTCTGTTGCAGAACAAAAAACCCAACCCTCTTTGCAGTCAAAAGGCTAGGTAAGCAAATCTTACATTATTTTCTTATAAATAATATATGTGCTATTGATTAACACTTAGTGTAACACTTTACATTTCTTATCGTTCTAGCATTGACTTTCTTTTTTTTTCTTTTTTACACAAACTTAAATCCTATACATTTTCTTTGCCTATTTCTTTCACTGAAAGTTTACACACACACACACACAAAAATAGTCATAATTCGTAAAAAACGTGTCATAATATCTTTTTTTTCAGCTGTGTCATTACACTACGGCCTACAAAACATTTGATTTCCTGGATTAATCATTCCTTACTTATTCGATTTCCTGAATTAATCATTCCTTTTTTTTCTATAAATACACAACTTTGGCGGGAAATCGACACATTTTTAGTGGAGAATAAATTTTATCATCACGTTACTCACTAAGAAAAAAAAAATAAGTTAGGAGAAATTTCTGACATGAAAGATATTTGTTTGAAAAGGGAGTTTCCTTTCTTTACCGATAAACAAAACTGGAAAACAACAAAACACGTACAAGGAGATCTTGGCTCCTAGTTGTTTAAGAAGAAGATGCATGACACTTGACACGTTTTCATTTCTGATGTCTAAAGAAAGAAATGAAGCAACACTTCTTTTTACACCTTGATAATACCGAACAAAGTTTAAAAGAGAGTTCAATATTTTATCAACTTAAGGTCAAGGAGATGGGAATATCTTTTGAAGCAAATGAGAGGTCAAGGTGACTTTTACCCGCTGAAAAGTGGAAAGATAAGGAACTGAATAAATAAATGAATTTATAAAAATAATAGACGGCATTTGTCTTTTCTTTTTAATATTTAACTGTAGCAGTAATTATAGAATAAAAGACAGACTGAAGACAAAAAAAAAAAAATTACCATATGATCGGCAACAAGACCAAACTTGATGGAAAGAAAATTACTACTACTATTTATTTTCAGTTAAAACTGTCGAAGAATTCGTGCGACTAAAATAAATAAGCTAAAGTTAATTTAACTGAAAATCCAATCGATTTTATTTTTATTAAAGAGAAAAAAAATAATTTTTTTTTATATATTTAAAAATATCAATCTCACACTTGGTAAATATCCAAAAAGATCAGGGTGTGTAGAGATGATGAATAAATAAATAAAACGTCAAGGTCGTCTATATCATTCAATGAATTTGAATTATAAAGTTTAGCAATATATTTTTAATTTATACATTTCATTTTTATACCGAATTTTATATAATTTATTAGTTTCGTTTAAAAGGGTTGACTAAATTTAAGAAACCAAGTCAAATGACGAATAGTAGTAGTCGCAATGGTGTTTGATTAAGGTAGAGGTCACATACTGAGAAGGTCGACCCCCAGCTGACCCGACCCGCTTTTCGTTGTAAACGAGAAAGGTTTTGTTTATTTTATTTCAGTACAATTCACTTTAGATAATCACGATTTTTTTTTCTTTCTAAATGTTGGTATCATGTTTGAAATAAATAAGCAGCGCTAATTTAAATTTTAATTGCATAGCATTAGCATACGTGTTTAAGTTCGCACGTAGGACACACAGAGTTGAGAAACAGTTGAGGGGAAAATGATTTCATGGTCGATTGGGTAAAGAAAGGAAGAATAAGATTTTTAAAATTTATTTTTATTTTTTTTAGACATTTTAAAATCTTCGGATCAAAAAAGTAAGACCAAAAAATAAGTTATGTCCAGTGAATTGAAACGAGGATTTAAAAATGAAACCATATTAAAAATAATGAAGATCAGATATGGATGGCTATATAGCCGCTAATTTACAATTAAAAATTTAAGATAAGAAACATACACTTTAAAGTAAACATTTTTTTTTTTTTAGAGATAGCTTTTTTTTTTTTTTTTTTTTTTATTTTTATTTACACAACTACTGTTAAGAAAAATTTGACAAATAAAAAGTGAAACTAAAAGCTTAAAACCAAAGTTACTCAATAAGTATTTACTTTAAAAAAAAAACCTAATTCTTCTAAAATCCAACATTAAAAAACTCTCTAGTAGTGTCAACTTCAACAGTCAACTATGTTTTTAAATAAAAAATTTCACTCGAGTCAACAGTCGTATAAAAGTTGGACTTTTTTAATTTTTTTAGCAGCAAAAACTAGGTTTGTTTGGTTTTATGAAAAAAGTTTAAAATCATTTGCAAAAAAAGTTTTAAATTCAAAGCACAAGTTAACCACCTCTTTTTTTTTTTTTTTTACTTAATAAATAAATTTGAAATTTAAAATAAATTTCTTAAATAAAGCATCTTACTATCACGTCTGTTGCCTTCTCAACATTAAGGTCGTAGAATGTAAAAACGACCTGTACGTTGAAATGAAAAATAAAATAAAAACAAAATACAAAATTAAAGTGGAACAAAAATTACAAATTATTTATCTAAATTAAACAGGATTAAAAAAAAACTAATGTAAATTTCAATAGTTTTTAAAAAACTATTGAAATTTTTTACATTAGTTTTTTAATTAAAAAAAAAGGCGATTGCATAATTAAAAATTTTAATTATGCAATCGCCTTTTTTTTAATTAATCTATTAAAAACAAAGGATCTGGAAACGAAAGTTGGAATTTCACATTTTACTTTGATTAAATAAAATAAATTTGTTTAAATAAAGCCAAGTATATTATTACACAAAAACCCAATTAAGTCATTTACAGAACAATTACCGTTTTTTTTTACCTACCAACAACAAGAGTGCAACTTTAACTGTTGCCAAAATATTTAAAAAAAAAAAAAAAATCGCTTCAAGTTGGAATCTGACACAAAAAGGAATCGAGGAAAGAATAGAGAAGGAAAAATAGACCAAAGAAAAAAAGATTAACAGAAAATCTTAAAATAATTGAAGAAATTAGGTCCCCCACCCCCGACCCATTTATTTTTAAATTCATTACTTTTTTTTTTTTTTTTACTAACTATTGAAATAACTAGTTCTTTTTTTGGGGGGGGGTCACGTTTTACAAAGGGAAATTCATTTATATAAAAAAAAAAAAATCTAATTCATTCTTTAAGAATCCTTGACATTTTATAGTGAAAATGAAAAATATAATTTATCAAACTTTTTTTTTCTTTTACATACCCACATAGGATTGATTAGTCAATTCTTTTCCATCATGAAAGGATTCATTCAACAAATTTATAACAACTACTTTTCGAATAGTAAATAATTAGTGTAATAATAATTTTTAATTAATTTCTTGGGGATGCTATTCTAGACAAGTAAATTTCCCCAAATAAAGAATGAAAGGCCAATTTTCCTCCACGTGAATGTGATACTGAGTGACAACGAATATCACAAACCCAGCAACTTTTACATGCCGAAATATTCTTAAATATTCATTCCTCTGCACTAACCACTGAATTATACAAAGAAGCTGATATTTTCGCAGTTTGTTTTTAGTCGATAGAGCAAACGACTGGAGGGTAGGAATACTTGAGGGCTTCTCATCGATGTCAGGCGCTGACACTTTTTTTTTTTTTTTTAAATGTTTAAGTAAAGTTTGACAGAATTTGAAACTAGTTCATGTTTTTTAAATCTTAGATCAATAACATTTTTTAATTAATTTTGTTTTCTACTTTTTATTTTTTTTTTTTAATTTTTTTATACAACTCATGGTCATTCGTCACTAAAAAAACAAGCCTTACTTTATCCCGGATAAAAGTGGGGGGGGTGAAAAAATGGAAAGCAGGGGAGCCTTTTCTCCCCTACCTTTGGGGACGGAAAGTGTTTTTTAATTGCTTTTTTATACTTTTAATCTTTCCACAAGAAAGTTTGTGTGTTTTTTTTTTTTGTTTTTTTTTTTTTACTCATCCCTAGAAAATCAAAAACAAACAAAATAAAAATAATTCGTCACACAATAAGGGAATTAAAAAAAACTCTTATGAAGGGTTTTTTTTTTTTTTTCTTTCTTACCTCCAACACTGAGGTTCACTTTTTGGGGGTGCGTGTCCTCTCGAAAGGCAGCACTCACTGCAAAAACCTCAACAGGGGCCGCAACAGACACATCTGCGTATTTGGAAGTCATCTTTGCAGTTGGTTTATCACGATAACAACACAAAAGCCCCTACTGACAATTGGAGTTCGTAAATTTGAACCTAGATTATCGGCCGGCGTGCTCAACAGGACAACAGCAACACCAAACTGGTGAAGGTCGGGACGCGATTGAAGCTCGGCTATTTACGGAAAAATCGCCGGAAACGCACGAGTTACGTCACTAACATCAAGCACCTGCATAGCACGGTCGGTTGGGAATATGACTTATTTAAGGATATGAAATGATTAATGACGTGAAATAAGCATTGAAATGTTTTACTTCTTTCCGAAATCAAGTTTTAATTATAATTTTACGAACTTTCGTCTTTGCTACAAAAATATTTGAGTCTGTTTATTTTGTTTAGTAAAAAAAAAAACACCAATAAACAGTCTCAGTAGTAAACAAACATTGTTTATGTGTTGTTTATTAGCGTCAAAGAAAGTGTTTGTTTATCTGGCCTTGTGGGGGTAACAGACCGATAGTTATCTGTGGCTGGAAAACAAAATGAAGTATTGAGAAGTAATTCCTCCTGGGGATTTGTCACTCACACAGAACCTCCCCATTATGATCGGGATAAGTTCGGTAGGGTTACCCTTTGATACCAGGGATTAAAGCCGGTCTGAAAGAGTAGGTAATTTCTAGACACACCCATTTTTTTAAGAGTGTGTTTCACATTAAAGGTGAAACGACCTTGCGCCACATTTGCCCACGTGGGGATCCGAACGTAAATTTTAATTTTTAAATGATTTTGTTTTCTACACTTCTTTAAAAATAATTTTTTTAAAAAATCTGTTTAAAAAAAATTGTATGCCTATTTTTTTCTTATTTATTTTTTCTTTCTTTTGCTTGACTTTGATTTTTTTTCTCCTTGATACATACATTTTTCTTTCTTTTTCTATCTAAGAGCTAGATCAGGCCGAAAATGGAGTACTGCTGCCATATATGGACAGGAGCTAATTTTTTTTTTTTTTTTTTTTTTTTACAGTGAGGGTCACTCTTTACAAGGCTCAGGAACTACTCAAGGCAGAGGGTTACGTTAGGAGGTCTTTTTTGTGTATAGGTGAGGGAGATAATGATTAACCCAGCCTTGGATAAGTTAAGATTGTCATGATCGAGGGAACATACAGAGGGAATGTGGGTGGTTTGCTATTATGCAAGTGGCATGGTGTGTTCTTGCCATAAAGGTTTGGCTTGGCAGGACTAAGGAATGCAGTTCATCCAAGCACTTTTCATGGAAGAAGCAATAGAGCAGTGAGGGGCTTTCCATATCCCACCTGTGAGAGAGAGGTTGAAGGGTGGAGAATAATTTGTCACCCACAAGGACTTGGAGATGCTTTTGAACTCTATCAAGGCTGGAGAGTGAGGTCTTGGCAACTCCCACCCAAATATGACAACAGTACTCCATTTTTGGTTTGACCTGGCTCTTGTAAAGGTAGTATGATGATAATCATCATCACACATATACATACATACATACATATACAAATCCAAATTAAACAATAACAAGCATTCATTGGATAATAATTACTGTGTAATGGACAATTTATAAATCACAGCTATGCGACAATTTTATAATCGCTATATTTTCATGTAGTCAATTTTGTGCACTTTTGGGAGAATCGGATCCCAGAGTCTTTCTTAGGTCTCCCCAAAACTCACTCGCTAATTGGTCAATAAACACACAAGTGGGTGTTGCAATCCACCCACGCACAATATATTTTTCCAGCACTTGACTAAGTCAAGTTTCCCGCCAAGGTGCTGTGATCCTATCACATGATTATATTATCTATAACCAGCAAACACGAGTTTGCCTCCTCCTCTTTTTTCTCTTTGATTTAGTCCCCTGGCAGCCAACTACATAATTTCAAACAAGCCATATGGACATCACACACACACACACACATAAACACACACACACACACACATTTTGTAACAGCAAACATTATTAATATCTTTCTATTTATGAACTCTGTCAGTATTCATGTAAATATAATTTTCTCTTCTTTTGTCAGCTACGTTGTTATTCATATAAAATACATAGGCCAGTTGATATTAATATCACTGATTACATTATCTATAAATAGCAAACACGTGTTTGCCTCTTTCTCTTTTTTCCCTCTTCTTCCTGCGAAGATGTGACCTTTAAGAATTATTGTCTTGACCATGTGGCCAGACATTTAATAATATTTCACGCATTCATGTACGTACAAACTCTTACGAACTTTTCCAATCTTCTCATTCGCACCACTATTCACATGCTAAATATTCCCTATACTCACATAATCGTTTTCCTTACACAGCAAAACTGTTGAAAACATTTATTGCCAGAAACTATTACAACCATATTTCTTTCAGTGAACTTTGGAACAATTAATAGTTTTACTCAATGCATGCTTTTCTTTCACATCCTTGTTTGTACATCTTGTTAAATACAAATTTTATGTGTAATGATGTCTTTTGCTTATCCTTTTTTCTTCACATCAGTTTCTTCAAGTTAAATTAATGTGGTGACGTCCGCCACAGTAGCATATAGCAAGAGGAGTCAGGTATTTACTGAAGCAGTACAGGGACTGACCATTTTACGTGTATTCTTAGCAAGAGATTGTATGTATGATTTCCACTTGAGGTCGGGTGTGAGTTTGAGGACCAACAGTCTTTCAAGGTACAGTACTTCCCTGAGAGGACCTCTGTTCATCTTTGGTGATAGTTTGGGGGTCAGATTAGTGATGGACACAACTAGCTGGGTCTAGGCATTGAATGTAACCAGCAAGCTTTTACCCATTAGGTAGTTTGTACAAGATTGGAAGAGAGATCAGTTGCCAATCTCTGGCCATCAGGAGTTTTAGAGATGTGGCCATATATAATAGTGTCATTGGCATAGATGTTTACAAATGACCTGAGTATATTCTTAGGCAGATCATTCATATAGATCAAAAAGAGGGTTGGTTCAAGGAGTGACACCTGAGGAATGCCTGACCACTAGGGCACCAGAGGACTGGCCATTAATAACTACCTTCAGGGACCTACCTGCTAGGCAACAGAGTATGGATAGAGTCCAAAAGCATTTCCACATCCTTGTGGGTGATGAATTGTTTTCCACCCTACAACCCCTTTCCTCACAGACAAAATGTTACAAACTACTCACTGCTCTATTACTATTTCTATGAAAAGTGTTCAAACAAACTACATTCCTTAGTTCCGCCAGTTCTAACTTTCGCAACTAAGATCTGCCATGCCATTCTAATTCCCTTCATTTTCCATTTATAAGAAAGAGAGAGAAAGAGAGAGATACTGGAAGGAGAAAGAAAGAAAAATCGACAGAGAAAAAGAGAGAAAGTGAGATACTGGAAGGAGGAAGACAGAAAAATGCACAGAAAAAAAAGAGAGAGAAAGAGAGATATTGGAAGGAGAAAGAAAGAAAAATGCACAGAGAGAGAGAGAAAGAGAGATATTGGAAAGAGGAAGAAAGAAAAATGCAGAGAAAAAAGAGAGAGAAAGAGAGATACTGGAAAGAGAAAGAAAGAAAAATGCACAGAAAAAAGAGAGAAAGAGAGATATTGGAAGGAGAAAGAAAGAAAAATGAACAGAGAGAGAGAGAAAGAGAGATATTGGAAAGAGGAAGAAAGAAATGCAGAGAAAAAAGAGAGAGAAAGAGAGATACTGGAAGGAGAAAGAAAGAGAGATACTGGAAGAAAGAAAGAAAAATGCACAAAGAGAATATGAGCAGACATCAAACTTTCAGAGATAAAAAAGATGCTTAATTGCTTAATTTTTAAATTTCAAAACTATTTATGGTTCATTCTGATTAGTAGCAAAACAGCAGTGTTTGTTTACTCTGTCCGAATCATTGAAAGGGTTTCCATCTGAGCCAGCATATTTGGAACCTACCTTTATGTTACATAAAGGGGATCTGGAATTTGCTATTTTGGAGTTGACATCAAACTGCTACAGGAATTCAGATCACCCCAGTCCAGAAGAAAAATGACATAGAAGAATTTTGATTATCCATTGACACTAACAGAAATTGAAACAACTCATTTGCTCCCACCTCAAAAAAAAAACTTCAGCTGGTTCGGTTAATCTAACAAACTCTCCACTGTTACCACAATGAAAAGAAACCACAAACTTTCTGCATATAAAAAAGTGTACCAAATTTCTTTTTGAAAACTATTCACGGAAATATTTCTCTTTTTCTTCAGTTTTTGTAGTTTTCTTTGCCAAGGACCTTCTTATGCAGTAATAAGCTCCAGGGTTATGGCATTACGGGTCGATTATATAACCTAATATGATCATTCCTGTCAAACCGTGAATTGAAGGTCGTTCTCAACGGATTCTCCTCCAGTTGCTATCCCAGGAACGCAGGTGTTCCTCAAGGCTCCATCCTAGGCCCTACTCTATTCCTTATCTACATAAATGACCTTCCTGACGCCATAAATTCTCAAGTTGGCATCTACACGGATGACACCACAATTTATTCCTGCCTCAAAAACAAATCTAGTATCACTGACAAAAATAACCTGGCCGTGCATCTCAAAAAGGACCTCCAATCGGTTGTGAACTGGGGCAGGAATTGGCTGGTCAACTTTAATGCTTCAAAAATAAAACTGCTCTCTATTAATCACCACAGAGATTCTTCCCTGCCCTCCATTAGAATGTCTGACGCTCAACTTCTCGTGAGCACCTCTCTGCGGCTGCTCGGTCTCACATTGACTGCTGACCTGAGATGGAACAAATATATTGAGTCAATTGCTTCGTCCACTGCAAGGAAAGTTGGCTCCTGTGCCCACGCCAGGAAATTTTCTCCCGGAATCGATCCTCCAGATCTACAAATCAACAATTCGCCCTTGCATGGAGTATTGCTGCCATATATGGTCTGGAGCCCCTTCTGTTTGTCTCGGGGGTTCTTGATAGGCTCCAGAGGCGGATATGCAATATAATTGGCCCTGATCTGGCATCTCGTCTACAGTCACTTTCTCACAGGCAAAATCGTCAAATCTCTCTGTCTGTTTTACAAATACTTTCATGGCAATTGCTCCGAGGAGCTGGAATTCGCTGGTTCCTAGACTTCATGAGTTCAAGCGCCCTACGAGGCTGGCATCCTGCTCTCACCCTTTCACTGTTGAAACTCCTAAATGTAGCCGTCTCTTCTACTCCAATAGCTTCATGTCTCGCATCTCTCGCCTGTGGAACTCCCTTCCTTATTCCTGTTTCCCTGTGAGCTATAATCTCCAGCTATTCAAGTGTAATGTCAATCGACATCTCCAGTTGCCTTGTATGCTAGAATGCTCACTAGATGGCGTGATAATCAGCAGTATAAAAGGAATGGATGCCCTCCCTCTTAATTTTGCTACCTCAGAAACAGGATATAGTTAGTAACAGATGTATCTAGTCTTCCCCCGCCTGGGGAGATTTAATTCCCTGGCAGCCAACTACATAATTTCAAACAAGCCATATGGACATCACACACACACACACACACACACACACTATCCACTACTCTTCTCCTCATCCTTTCTTCTATCACTCTTATCTGATCTTGCTCCAAATTTTCTGTAACCCCTTGCGTCCTAGTGGCTTTCCACCTTGCTTGTAGTGAAATGCTAAAAAAAAAAAAAAATATATAATTTTAATTGTAAAATGGGGTGTTTTATTTTCATTGATAATTCACATGTTATTGACTATCATTAGGCACTAAATTTGTGGAATTCTTTTTTTTTCTTTTTTTTTTTTTGTATGTTAAGAATAAATTTTAGCATTGTTTCTCAACTCAGCTTGTGTAATCTGTGTCATTTGAAATACACTGATAAATTAACATTACCACAAACACGTGTTTGAACTATTTTTTGTAGGATTTTCTTTACGAAAAAATATCCTATAAAATCTATTAAAAATATAAATTTTATTTTTATTTTTATTTCATTTGTTTTTTATTTTATTTTTATTTTTAAAAATATTTTTATTTTATTTTATTTTTTATTTTTTTTTTTTTTTTAAAAATATTTTTATTTTATTTTATTTTTTTATTTTATTTTTATTTTTAAAAATATTTTTATTTTATTTTTTATTTTATTTTTATTTTTAAAATATTTTTATTTTATTTTTTTTATTTTATTTTTATTTTTTAAAAATATTTTTATTTTATTTTATTTTTTTATTTTATTTTATTTTTAAAAATATCCAATAAAATCTATTAAAAATATAAATTTTATTTTTATTTTTATTTCATTTGTTTTTTAATTTTTTTATTCTTAAAAAATATTTTTATTTTTTTTTTATCCTATAAAATCTATTAAAATATAAATTTTATTTTTATTTTATTTGTTTTTTATTTTATTTTTAAAAATATTTTTATTTTATTTTATTTTTTTATTTATTTTTATTTTTAAAAATATCCTATAAAATCTATTAAAATATAAATTTTATTTTTATTTTTATTTCATTTGTTTTTTAACTTTTTTTTTATTCTTAAAAATATTTTTATTTTTCAAAATATCCTATAAAATCTATTAAAAATATAAATTTTATTTTTTATTTTTATTTCATTTGATTTTAATTTTTTTATTCTTAAAAATATTTTTATTTTTCAAAATATCCTATAAAATCTATTAAAAATATAAATTTTATTTTTTTATTTTATTTCATTTGTTTTTTAATTTTTTATTCTTAAAAATATTTTTATTTTTCAAAATATCCTATAAAATCTATTAAAAATATAAATTTTATTTTTATTTTTTTATTTTATTTGTTTTTTTCCCGTTTATTCTCACTTTCATTTTTCTTTCTTTCTCCTTCCAGTAGCAATTTTCCAAGCTTAGCTTAGATTGGCACAAGACCGAAAGTATGGGGTACCCAGTGAGGATCGAACTCACTACTCATTCGTAATTGTGCTAGCGAGACAAGCTTGCTAACCATTACACCGCCTTGAGGTGCCCTCTTTCTCCTTCTAGTATCTCCCTTTCTCGCTCTTTTTATTATTCTAATCTATTATAATATATAATAATAATAATATATAGATAGATAGATATGTATGAATATAAACTAAATAATGAGATATTAGTGACTATATATGCATGTAATAACATGCATATATAAATGAGCAAATAAATATTTATTTAATTTCAGGTGTAAACAAAAGTTCTCAATGTAGTTAAACAGAGCTATGAAGTATATATTAACAAATACATATATACCTTCATTTGTAGGGCAACTTAAAGTTTCTTGGTTTCCCAATTCATCAAAATAAAAATAACTCCTTAAGGAGTAAAATGATGCACAAAGTCAATGTGCCTAATATGAATTCAGTTTAATGTTTGGATTTTATCAAATGCTTTATTTAATGTTTCCATTTTATTAAAATTCTAAAAATAGCTTTTAAAAACAATAAAAGAATAAAAATTAATAATAATCTATACTGTAATAGTGCATCAATAGTGTCACCAAAAAATGTTCTTTTGTTACATTTTTTAGCTGGTATGTTTGTTAAACTTTGCCAATTGTTTTATCAAACATTATTTCTCATTACTATAAAAGTTAATTTTTTTATCTATCTCTCTATGTTCATCTATCTATCTATCTCAGTCTGTTCATCTCTGTTTATCTATCTGTCTATCTATCATAGATCACCTATCTATCTATCTATCTATCTATCTATCTATCTATCTATCACAGTTCACCTATCTATCTATCTATCTATCTATTTATCTATCTATCAATTTATCTATCTCAGTCTGTTTTTCTATCTATCTATCTATCTATCTATCTATTTTTAGTGGGCACTCATGTTTGATTTGACATAACTGTTTTTATATTTTTAATCAGTCAAATTAATATCAATTGGCTTATAATTTAATATGAATAACATCTTAGCTGACTAAAGACGAGAATGGGAAAATATGTTTTGCATTGATACTGATAGGTGGAGCTCATTAAAAGAAAGAAAGCATTAATAGACTTAGCTGTTAGAAATTGCTTGTGGGTGATGTGCATGTGGCTTGCTTATCTCTCAGTCTATTTATCTATTTCAGTCTGTTCAACTATCTATCTATCTATCTATCTATCTATCTATCTATCTATCTATCTATCTATCATCTCTCTCAGTCAGTTCATCTATCTATCTATCTATCTATCTACCTATCTATCTATCTATCATCTCTCTCAGTCAGTTCATCTATCTATCTATCTACCTATCTATCTATCTATCATCTCTCTCAGTCAGTTCATCTATCTATCTATCTGTCTATCCCAGTTCATCTATCTATCTCAAGCTAATCTATCTATCAATTTATCTATCTCAGTCTGTTTATCTATCTCAGTCTGTTTATCTATCTATCTATCTATCTATCTATCTATCTATCTATCTATCTATCTATCTATCTATCTGTTTTTCGTGTGTACTCATGTTTGATTTGACATCACTGTTTTTATATTTCTAATCAGTCAAATTAATATCAACTGGCCTATAATTTTATATGAAGACCAACGTAGCTGACAAAAGACGAGAATGGGAAAATATGTTTTGCATTGATACTGATAGGTGGAGTTCATTAAAAGAAAGAAAATATTATTAGTCTTAGCTGTTTCAAATTGTTTGTGTGTGTGTGATGTGCATGTGGGTTGTTTGAAATTATGTAGTTGGCTGCCAGGAGACAAAATCTCTTCCAGGGGAAGACTGGATACATCTCTATCTATCTATCAATCTCATGTATCAGGTACACCTATCTTTTTGCATGAA